AAACAAAAAAGCAAACCTATGAAATAAAAAGTGCTTGTGGGTGGGTGGAAACTTAGTTACTTAACTTTGGCTCTCACAAGACCTGGTGGCAGGTGGGTTGAGGCCCAGAGGAGGCCCAGGTGGATCTGAGTTATCCCAGTTTCTTACTTTCTCTGCCTGGAACCAGACACACCATATGCCCTCAGGTTAGACAGTGATGGCGAACCTATGACACGCGTGTCAGAGGTGACACGCGAACTCATTTTTTTGGTTGATTTTTCTTTGTTAAATGGCATTTAAATATATAAAATAAATATCAAAAATATAAATCTTTGTTTTACTATGGTTGCAAATATCAAAAAATTTCTATATGTGACACGGCACCAGAGTTAAGTTAGGGTTTTTCAAAATGCTGACACGCCGAGCTCAAAAGGTTTGTCATCACTGGGTTAGAAGGCTGAGGCAACAGCAGAGTTTGGGAATCTTGACTTGAATCCCATTCTGGGAACAAAACCCAATCAGAACAGGATTCCCAAGGCCTCGCTGGTGGCCCTGAGATTCTGCCAAGGTGGTGGCAGAGACCCATACCTATTTCACAGAATTTCCCCTTGAACTGGTCGGGACAGGCACAGGTGAACTTGGATCTTCGCCGGTTCCGGGAGCAGGTACCACCGTTTCGGCAGGGGTTTGGCCTGCACACAGGAACCGCTGTGAACACAGGAAGTGGGGCCGAGAAGGGTCTTCAGAACGAGTTGCAGCCACATCTGAGATGACGAGGAGACACTGGTGGCATTCCTCTGGTGTCCATCATTTCACAAAAGATGGGTCACCCAAGGGACAGACAGACCAACTGATGCCCTAGTAAATGTGCACATCAACTCAAAGATCATCTACAAACACGGATGAGGCACTGTGATGAAGGCCACAAAGTGTATGCAAGTGCATGGGTCATGCAGTAAGGAATAGCAAGAGGCATGGATGGGCAGGCATTTGGGGATCAGTCTGAGCTAAGCTGAAACTTGGCTGTCCCCCTTTAAGGCTGTGTGACTGTGAGCAAGTTAGTCAACCTCTCTGAACTTTACTTTCTTCATCCATAAAATTCTTCCTTGCAGTGTTTTAGGGAGAATGTGAGAGAGAATATAAATCGCCTTGGACAATCCCTGACTCATACACTGAATCAGTATAGATTTATGCCCCACCATGGGCCATTCTGGGAATAAACCAGGGCTGACTTCCTGGAGGAAGTGATTTTTAAGATGATTCTTTTTGGATGGGAAGGAGCACAGATCAGGCAATTCTCAGTAACTCTCCAGGGATGATGAATCTTTAAAACTCCTAGTGATAATGGCCATCATGGATGTTACTAGAACATCAAATGTATCTGGACTGTAGGGTGCAGAGACCCCAGGCACAAGCCAGGGCAGAGAAAGCCTAGCATGGAAGGGGCTGCCGGCACTTACCTGTGGAGCAGTCTGGACCCCTGTAGGGGTGCTTGCAGGCACAGCGGTAGTAGGGAGGACTCTGAGTAATGAGACATTCGCCCAGGCCACATGGGTTTTCCTTGCACTTGTTTTCCACTGTAGGAGATCCATAGAGAAGAAGGTTCAAAGTACAGGACATTATTGGGGGCACATTTCACTTAGAGGAATACCTGAACAGTACAATGTTTGAGGGCCAGATGGCTGATGGAGAGTGTGCCCTTGTCCGTGGTCCTGAAAGACCTGCTTCTTTTACCCTCTTCCCTGCCCCCCGTGCCTCCATCTCTAATCTTCAGGTTATTATGATTGCTTCCCAGTTCCTTCCAGTGTTCCTTCCCATACTTACTCACATATTATTCTATCTTGATAAAAACCTTGATAACGTTTACACCTTTAACAGAATCAGTATAGAGTTTCTCCACTTCATAGCTGATTTTATATTCCATTTACATCTCCCCCCATTCTTCTGAGAAGGTAAGGGGTGAACCCAGATACTGTGTTTATATCAATATACCAAACCATCCAGAACCATTTGTGGAAGGACTTATAGGATTGAAAATGGAAGGAGTAAATAAAGAGGACACAGAAGAGAGAAGTCAACCATAAAACCCTATGTATGTAAGACCTCCACTGCCTCCCTCACCCTGGTTAGATGGTTGCTAGATGGAACAGAATCCAGGTGCTCTCCAGGGGTGCAATTAGTCCACAGGGATTCCATTTGTCATGCTTATCATATGCCCCCAAGAACTCATCGAAGGCAGAAACAGCCTTTAATCAGAGCCCCCATGAGTGAGGAGAACAGGGAGAAAGAGCATGGAACCAGGCGTTAGGCACCAGGGCTCTAACTTATGCTCTTCTCCTAACTAGCTGTGTGGCCATGAGGAAGCCCCCTGCCCTCGCTGGGCTCTCTTTCTCTAATGGAGTTGGGTGTTATGTGCCCTGAGGTACTTCCTGCTCTCCCACTTGAGAGCAATGTTTCTCTGTTGTCGCTAGTCTAAACACTCAAACCAAAACAAAGACAAGTCCTGAGTTTTGAATATGTCTTGGTCAGATTCCAGCTCTTATCTCTTCTTAGCCTTGATATTCTCATCTGTAGAATGGACACACCACTAGTCCTATGTATCATGCAGGGGCAAGGATTCAGTGAGCTGCTGCCTGTGACCATGCTGAGGAGTCCATCATGCATGATATAATGTGCGTGGCAATGATCCTTCCTGAGGGATCACTCAGCTCTTCTTTACCCCATTGACCTGGAGAAGGAAACTGCAGAGGGAGAGTGAATCCAGTGAAGGTGCACTCACCATTCTGGCACCTGCTTCCAGAGAAAGGGTCCAGGCAGCTGCACTTGAAAGTGTCCCCGCTGACGAGGCAGGTCCCACCGTGCTCACAGGGGCTGGACAGGCATGGATCTGAGACATTTGGACAGAAAGCAATGTTTGCAATAAACAGCAGGCAGGCGAGAAGCCCCCTACGTACTCATCGAATTTCAGTCTCCGGCCCAAATGAGAAAGTAACTACACAGCCAGTGATTGGGGGGAAGGGGACACAGGCATGGCCCTTAAAGAGCAAGGAAGCCCTAGCCAGTTTGGCTCAGTAGATAGAGCATCTGCCTGCAGACTAAAGGGTCCCGGGTTTAATTCCGGTCAAGGCCACATACCTCGGTTGCCCGGGCCCTGGTTGGGGCTCATGCAGGAGGCAACCAGTTGATATGTTTCTCTCACCTCATTGTTTCTCTCTGTCTTTCCCTCTCTCTTCCGCTCTCTCTAAAAATCATTGGAAAAATATCCTCGGGCAAGGATTAACAAAACACAAAAACAAAACAAAAGAGCGAGGACAAAAGCAGTCACAGGACCAGAGAGAGGGATTCAGGTTGGGAAGAGGTTGGGCGAGAAGGAATGGTGACTGTCTCCCCTCGGCCTGGCTTGCGAGGGGGCCTTTCTCATTGAGAAACTCCCCTTTCCCATCCTCAGTCTTTTCCTCCTCCCAGTCTCGCTGGGAGTGCCACGGGGTCTGTCTCTGATGCTGAATGCATTTCACAAGCCCGAAGACCTCCCCTACTCCCAGGGCCCGGGGGTGGAGGTCAGGCCTGGGGAAAGAAAACCCACCCCTAACGGAACACACGCTTTCTGAACATCAGGCACGAAGACCAAAGGCAAGAGGGTGACAGAAAAATTGACGGCAAGGAGGAAATGACCCGGTGGCCTTCATCTTTCTTCAACTACTTGTTCAGTTAGATTTTGTCATATTTCATCTGTGCCTTTGGCTTTTCATGGTTGTCTGAATGGATCTTCCCTCGGGGAATTCTTTATCCTTCTGTTCACACGCATTGTTCTTTGGTTCAGGGACTAGGATCCCTGGGCCCCGCTCTTGTTTTGATAGTCCCTTCTGATGTTCCCCCGGTGCCCCATGTCTTAGCCCTGCCTTCCAGGCCACTTCGCACAGTTTCACAGCTTTTATTCCAGCGGCTGACTGCTTTCCGTTTCTTCCGCTGCTGTAAGGCACATGGCTGTGCTTGGGCCAGCGTCTCCCTTTCCTTTCTGCACTATGGCTCGGTTAAGAAGCCACAGAAAAACCAAAAACGAATGGGGCAGAAGCACACATGTGAACACACACACACACACACACACACACACACACACACACACATCCTAAAAACAATGCAAAGCTTCTAAAGAGTCGAAGAGGAAGAAAAACACAGCGCAGGCGCAAGGGAAGGGAAGTGCCAATGCCAAGTTTGTGCATGCTGCAAATCTGACGCTGAATGTTAACTCAGACGCTTCTCCCTAATTAGGGCCTACCTGTCATGAAAGCTCTGGGAATGATTTTGACTCTGACTCCTACTCACAGTGTCGGGAGAGCTAGATGATGAGGCACTAACTTGTGTATCAACTTGACTGAGTCAACTCCTTTCCTGGTCTCATTTGCCTCACCTGTCCTCTGAGGCTGAGAGAGATGGTCTCAGAGGACCTCCCCAGGCCCCGCAGTATATAATTCTAGCTGGAAAAATAGCCAGTTTAGATACTTTCTTTGGTACCTATTTTACAAAGCCTGTCAGAGAGCAGGAAGAGAGGGAGGCCTTTGCACGTGGTAACACATAAATTCAGCTCCAGGTGTGCTGCCCTCCTCCTGGGAGGGCCCCTGAACAGTGTTGGTACCTGCTATTGAGAGGAGTTAGCTTGGAACCCAGGCAGATAGGGCCGGGGTCCTGTGGAAAACAAAGGCAGGTGGAACCTAGGCAGGGGCAGGCACAGCAGTTCGAGCAGCCTAACCACAGGAACCAACCAAGCAGAAATAATAAAACGTTTCTGGACTCAAAGCGGGAGGCATGGAAACCAAGGGAGGGCCTGCAGTAAACAAGATGCACGAACACATAGAAACAGGGAAAGTTCAG